CTCTCTCTCTCTCTCTCTCTCTCTCTCTCTCTCTCTCTCGTGATCGCGATCTATCTTCGACTCTGTGCAACCGCGGATCTTCCGCCATATTCGCGGATAATCAGTTTATCGAGGATTTGATTTTACGCTTAATTGTGGAGGAAGAGTGCGTAGCGAGTTTTCACCTAATGTGTTCTTGTGCGGGAGGACAATGAGTGTAGAAGGAAGTGAATTTTCGGATAAAATGGGATGGCGAAAGTAGATAGCGGCTAGAAAATTGTTGTTGAATAAAAATGGAATGTTTTACAACGTTTTTTATTTGCCAGAACCAATCAAGTATGTTCTTAAATGAGACGTTATATACTGTATAATTGTATTTTTTATGAAATGATACGTCCTCTCAGTTTGAATATTCTTTATAAAAGCCGCAACAGATAGCCTTCGAAATACAAATTAAAAATCGCAGTTAAAAGTAGTGTTGTAGCAAAAACGTTCTAGACAATTTATTGTCACGAGTTCGATTGTTCCGAGTAACAAGCACTCCGTCGCCAGCCCCAGCTATCGCTGTCCCTCGTTGGAAATTGAATGTTTCGCATCCGATATTTACGAAATCATCGATTTCCGATCGGCGACGATAAAGATACGCCGGGGCCGCCGCCTCCATTACGTCTAATTACGGGACGCGGCCGTTTGATCGAGCCGTGTTACCTTAAGGCGGCGGTCACCTAGATATCGGCATTGTTATCCTGCCTGACCGCAGCCACTTAACCGAGTTGTAAGCCCCACGAGTTCAACTTTACCCTTCAACAGGTGTTTAGGGAAAGACAATAATGTCGCGCATGCGCTCCCAACTTCTTAAGGTCGCAAAGTTCGTCCGAACAATCTGACCGCGGCCATGCCTGCGGACCGTGATGGTATTCGTGCAGGAGTTAATTGAGTTTCCGGGGCGGAAGGAAATTTTTCCGACCCGAGGGATGATCGAGGGACGTGACTACCGCGGAATACCTAAAAACATTCATAGGTCAGCGCGCATCGTTCCATGATTCTTCCTCGATGAAAATGTTTTCTACCAGAACATATCATAGATCTGTTCTTTTGATTTATAAGAAGTTAAAGCAGGATTTGTTGGGGTTTTGTATTCTCACAGTGCTTTATTTTCGAAATTCTTGATGCAAAATGTTTGTAGTTATCTGTGTCTACCTGCTCGTGTGAATTGTTTAGTTTTGTACATGTATTTATGCAAGGTCTAGAAAATTTGTATTTATACTGCATTGAAAACTGGTAGAAATCTGCAATACCGACAGAAGATACGCTTATAAGGCGGTCTACCTTACCGACAACAGGTAAAGCGATACGGTAGTAGATAACTGTAGTATGAGAATTCAGTGTACAACCGTCGAGGAGGTAGAAATCTTCTTGCCTGTTGTGGGATCACTTTTATCATTTACCATTGGATGGCGTTGACGTGAGTGTATCGAGCGAGATTGAGTAAAATATTCTTTGAGAATTACTGGATCAATATTTCCTCTTTGTAAAAGATGTGCATGCATCTGTAAATTTTTAGTTAATAAACTTTAATTATACTTTATTTATATATTGTAATTTTGTATCGGATGATTAAATTTCTTTCGTACCTGCTGAGCAGTTACTCAATGTTGCGCAGATAATAATTCCACCCAGAATTCGAAGGAAACGTTGAATTTTGAAAGTGTAAAATGAGAAATATTATACAGTTAATATTAAACTAACCGAAATTGATGCAAAATTTTATCACATAGAAATATAAACAAACGTGAATGCAAATCGAGTAACATATAAAGTGTTAATATTTGAATTTTTGTATTCCACTGGAACCGGTCGTTTTACTAGATATATTAAATATAAAAATCAATGGAGTTTTAAATTGAATTTCTGATTGCATCATATGTTGCTTACAGGCATTAAATGGCGCTGAGGGTACCGTTCCACCCGGAAGAGTATACAAGAAAGTTGCGATCGTCGAGAACTTCTTCGACATTATTCATGCTGTTCACGTTGACCTTGAGGGTCGTCCGGGAAAGCATGCGGGTCAGAAGAGAACGTACAGGACGGTAAGTTCGCAAACACTTGCAATTCCGTTTGCGTATATTCGATGTATCGCACCAAATAAGAGAAATTAAAAATCCTGGTATTACTGGACAATTTAAATAGTTTATCCAACATTCTTAGAAACTTGAATCTTGAACAGGCTAAATACTTTTAGAAAGCTTAACGGAAATGCTAATGTACATGCCAATGAATTCTTTATTTTATGAGAAATATTATATTTTCTATTGAAGTTTCTGTCGTTTGTCATTTGTTATCAATAATTGAATCGATAAATCAGATTATACATTCAGTATTTACACGAAAGTATGTACACATCAGGATTAGGACAGTTCGACAGCCAATTTCATATAAATTTTCCATAAAAAGCAGATCTGGATTGATAAGTGGGATTTATTATATAATACCTGCAAATTAACTTTTATCTTCTTCAATGAACTTCCCTATCATTACCCTATAATACATGCGAGCTTCCCATTGTTTGGAGCTTCACCATAACTTAACTGATAACTTGTCAGTAGTCTCATCGTTTTCTATATTCCATGCTTTTTCACGTTCGATGCTTGACAACAATCGAAAACTACCTTTCGGTAACTTCGCCAATATAACCATAAAGAAATTTATAATATGCCCGTCATTTCATACTAAATCACATGGAACGTGACATTTAGTTTACTCGATTTCAAAGATCGAAGCCAACGATGAATCTTTCCAATTGACATATCAAGACTCACTAAAATTCGACTTGTATACGGAACGATCATAACGCAACAAACAATTGGAACAAAAATTTCTAAAACGACTCTTCAAATGAAATTCACTCTCACATTATCTTCAACATAAAACCACAAATTCTAAACCCTATCAATTACCTCCACAAATTTCACAATTCCTCAAGACATCTATTCAGTGTCATCCAAATTCAATCGATCCGTGGTAAGGGGCTCCCCGAGGGATGATCCGTCGGGCGCATCGGTGACCCCGAAATTCGTTTGGCGTCGTCAGCAGCGCCGAATTCTTGCATGACCGGCCGCGACACGTGATATTTACCGTTCCCGGGGGAAAGGCATTGAGGCATTCAAGCGTCGAACACTCGATACCACACGTCATCTCACGTGTTCCGGCCGCGCGTTGGCGTCGAGCTCTCTCCGGGGTATCATATCTGTTCTCCGACACCCGTCCCACCCTCCCGATCGGTTTCGCCCTCTGTCTCGGTCGCCGCGGCGGCGGTTCGCTCCTCTTCCTCCCGTTTCGCATCCCCTCCGACCTTCCCGCCCCATTTCCCGTCTCGCTCTTCTCCGCGGATCGCCCCTCCGCCGC